GATCACGAAAGGCATGAAAGCCAATGTACATCCTCAGGTTTAAGAAGATTGAACAGGGGCAGCTGTTGTACCCCAAAATTTTCCCTCCCATTTTTCTCAAGATATTGCAAGAAAGATCTCCAAGTGGCTCAAGGTAGCTCAAGAGTTGGTCAGACAAGCTCTCTCCTAAGGCAGTCTACCTCAAATTAGGGTTTTGTGTTGCATCAAGATCCTTGAATACAAATGACCTCAAGTTCTCCCCAATGTCCTAATATGTTCTCAAGATCATCCATGTCAAATTTCAAGCCTTGTAGAGGAAGTTTGCTCAGTCAATTGCCCAAAGGTCCAAAAATCGATTGTGTTAGGGCAAAAGTCAACTGTGACCCAAATACAGTCAAACTTCAAGATTTTTTTGTCAACATTATCATTTTGAAGGTTATTTCATCATTTGATCAAGGGTTGATCATGATTCATCAAGGATTTCTCAAAATTCATCAAGACTCAAAAGTTGCTAAATTAGGGTTTTGCAGGAAAAGTCAACTCAACTTTGACCAAGCATAACTTTCTCATACTTTATGAGAAATGACCAATACAAAGCTCATTTTAAATAGGATGAAATTCCATACAATCCATCTTCATACCCCCAAGATAAAAAAAATGCACTCACAAGAAGTTATGAATTTGGACATTATAGGTCATTTTGAAAAGTCAACAAAAACACCTTTTTTGCCAAAGCTTATAACTTGAGCATGGAATATCAAAATAAGATGAGACCAAAAGGGTTGGTTAGAGGACATCTCAAGCTTTGTAAAAACTCCCAGAACACCTCCAAAAGTTCAAAATTGAAGAAGTTATGCATTGTTGAAGTTGAACTTTTTTGCAAAATTGCCAAAAGTCAACTATCCCCAAAACTTCAAATTTTGTCAAATGGGCTCATTTGTTTCCACTTGATTTGAGTTTGAACTATTTCCCACGTGCCCTAGCTTCAGCCATGTGTCCATATCTCATTTTTATTATTTAATTTGATTTTTATTTGAATTTATTCATTTAAAATCAAATTAAATCACATAAAATCAAAAATATTGATAACCAAAGATTTTTTGTTGATTATAGGCTTCAATGGACAGCTAGCACATCTCCAAACTCGTATCAAGGCATAAGTGTACAAGAAGATATGATTTGAATCAAATTTGGAAAGGTTTAATGGTGGAGTCAAATCCAATTCTTGTGCATTGATATGGAGAGATTTGGACCGTGATTCTTACCCTAATGCAGTACACATTACATAAGGAAGAAAAACACATGAAAATAGGGGTTGGCAAGTGTTGGAAGAGGCAGAATAAAAGTGAGAAAAATCACAAAAAAGTGAGAGATCAAAATCAGGGTTAGAGGCAGTTTCAGGACACGAGACTTGTTCCAATCGCTTCCTGGGCATTCACATAAGCTACCTGGACCAAAACCGCGCATCCTCTGACCTCTATACACGCTGTAAGTATCACGAAAATGACCCCTGTTCTTGAATTCGATTTGGTTTGTTCTTGCATCATTTGAGAAAATTAATGGCATATTCGTGATCACAAGAACATGTTCAAACTTTTTGCATCATTTAATTTCATTTATATGGTCTGTATTGCAATTCGCCATAACTAGGTTTTGCTTGGAGTTTTTGGGAGTTTTTGTTTCAGGAACAATTGACCTCCATGAAGGGTATGGTTATGACCGGGAGGTTGAGACGAACATGACTATGCCTTTGGAAATCATTTTTGTGGCCTGTACAGGATTTTGGAGGTGGACTTGCTTATAGCTACAGACTTCTGTTCGTTGGTATAGATATGTGACCTTTTAGCCACGGACGAGAGGTTGGGGATGATGTGTGGCATCCCATTACTCGCCAATTCAAACATCACACGCCCTTTTTTTTTTCTTTTTTTTCTGGCATTAGAATTGATTTGTTATATTATTATTGACGTTTATTATTCTAACAACTAAAAAAGCCTGGCGTAGTGGCAAGCAAGCGTGTATATCTCCTTCAGGACCTGAGATCGAATCCCAGGTCCCCCACTTTCTCAATAATTTTGGTTTTCAGGTATTCCAATGCATGCTCAAATCTGCAGCCTACCATGCTCCTTCACCCATCTAGGCGCCAGATGGCCAATGGCCAGATCTGGTGGTCCGTGATTGGAAGTCCACCAAAGGCCAAGTCAACATGCCCACACTAGATCCTAGATGGTCAAACGGATCAGCTTTGTTGGGCCTATGAAATTGCTACTCACACTCATAAATCAAGCCCAACACTCCCCTCTCTCTTTTATTTTATTTTGTTTTATTAATTGTTTTATTATTTTTATTTAATTTTCAAACCAATAACAAAATTCCTTTTTTCATCAAATAAAACCACAAAAATATTTTTTTATTCAATCAAATTTTAACTTTTATTTTTATTAATAAACACTAATTAATTAATTTAGGTTTTAATTCTAGAATAACTTTAACCTATTTTGTAAATAATTAAAATTAATTAGATTTAATTAGGTTTTAATCACTAATTTAATTAATTTCATTTTCTTTCTTAATATAACAAAAATAAAAAAATATGTCATAATTAATTTTTCATTAATTAATTTACTATTTTAATCTAGTTCTTTAATTTAGGTTTAATTTCTTTCTTAATTTAAAAACAACAAAAAACCAAAAAGACTTGTTTTTTAACCAAAAGGGCCAAAACCCTAAAAATCCGCATTCGATTCAATTTCCCGCGCGCGTTACTTATTTTTATCCAATAATGTACCTGCTTCCAGATTGTAATAGTTAAATAGGACATTTTATTATTTTTATCGCTTTATTTTATTTTTCAAAGGGTTTGTCTTTGGCGATGTAAATACCCGACGCCTTGTAATTTAATTTCCGCACCTTTAATTTCTGCAAATTATAACTGTTAGATGCTTGATAATAGGGTTTGTATGACAAGATTGAATGTTAATCTTAAAATCAAATTAGATCACCCTTAATATGTATAAAGATAATAATAAACTGAAAACGACACACTCGCACATGCGCACCCTTAAGGTACACCCCACTTGGTTGCCTTTGTACACGGTCATTGAGTATAGGTCGTTTTAGAGGTCGTCCTCGAAACGGTTGCCTCAGATATTGTTGCCTCAAACAAATGATCTAAGACATTAGGGTTACCGCTAAAGCATCTTAACATTGCTTTAGTGACCGTAAGTCCCTCATTCGAATTAACCCTTAAACTCCAACGACGATGCTACCTACTCATCAATAGTGGGATATCATTTCCTAAAGGAAATTAGCATAGAACGATTCATTTTTCGAGTAGGTAGATAGTTCTTAGATACTTGCTCTTTAAAAAAACAAAAAAACTTTTCACACTTACACTCCTTTTCGAACAAAGTTTTCAAAAAACACTTTATTACACTCTTGAGGACAAAAGCAAGAGTTAAGTCGAAGTTTTCAAAACAAAAACGTTTTCAAATCCACAAGCACAAAGAAAACAATTTTGAAAACAATTGAGCAAGTACCTAAGAGCCCGTGGATAACCACGGATATAAAGGGTGCTAACACCTTCCCTTTCTATAATCTACCCCCCGAACCCGAGAAAGATCTCGAAAAAGGAATTTTTCTGTGCTTTTTTCCTTTCCTTGTTGGATAAAATAAAAGTCGGTGGCGACTCTTGCTTATCGCGACATTTTACGAATACAAATGCAAAATACAAACTAGCATTCCAAAAAAAAACAGTCAGTTCTTCCCACCGTATCACACACTCTTTACAACTATTTCAACTTTCATTTGAAAGTCCCTCATTTTGTAAGTGCATCCTTCGTCTTTCGTCCGGTGAGGTAATATCGTTTAACTTATCCCTTTGCTCGTAAGTTTTTATTTTATGCATTTAGTATCAATGTCACTTATAATTTGATTTTGTGCTTATGTGATTTGCTTGATGAATGATGCAATTTCATAACTGTTCAATTCAAAAAAATTCATTGATAACCTATGAGTGTTTTCAATCTGTATGCTTATAGTGACGTTGTGTTTTAATATTTTGCTTTTCATCATCATATGTATTTCAAAGGCAAAATTTTCAAAATTGAATTAATTTGATGTTTATTGCTAGTGCTTGTTATTTATCTCTATTACATGAACTCAACATTTGTTTTGCATAAAGTTGTTCATTTCCACAATGTATGTCTCACTTCTAAACTTCATAAACCAACCAAAGTCTTGTTTTGTCAACAAAAAAAAATCCTATTTCACTTCTGGACAGTTTGTGTCAACTTCAAACTACTTTGTGTAAACTCATTTTCATCAATGATTGTGTTTCTCAATTTTAGTTCAGTGGGAGTCGATTCCCTCATTTTCATCCATAAATGTGTTTCTCAATTTTGGTTCAGTAGGAGTCGACTCCCTCATCTTGTGATTGACTCCTTCACAAATTTTTTGTTTTAGTTACAAGAGGAGTGGACTCCCAGATCCAATGGGTCGACTCCTTCGAAACATTCCACAACTTCCAAAGCCTCGGGTCAAGATGAGTCGACTCCCAGGAAGGGATGAGTCAACTCCTTCACTGAAAACTTTGAATTTCATTTCACTTTTCTCCTTATAATATGATGCATATTTCAAAAATACATGCAAACTTCATCTTCCTCCTCTCAACTGGACTCATCACCTTAACCCTTTACTCTTATCAACATAAATCTTTATTTTCTTCAAACCCAACCATCAGTATTCCTCATTCTGTCCTTCATATCTCTTCACAAACCATAAATCTCTCTCATATCATCCCATTTTTCGTTTTTTCCCTCATACCAAAACCCTTATTTCAAAATTCTCATAAACTCAACAAATAACCTCAAATTTTCATCTTTTTTCCTCTTATTTGTGTCGTTATCTTTTGTTTGCCATAGGTTTGGGGTAGTGGATATTCAAAAATCACTTTAATCCCTTAATCTTTCTCTCACACATTTCATCAAACACCTTGTGTGCATCCTTGAAATCTAAAAATCATGCCTCCAAATAGAAGAAAGGGCAAGAATGTGGTTGGGCCGTCTTCATCTGAACCAGTAAGTGTTATTTCTCTACTTCATCCAGACTCTGTTAGAGATTATGACACAAACTTCATAAGTCGTATTACGGTGAAGCAATACTACATCCTGTTGTAGTTGCAATGCTACACATTCCTAAGATTGAAGTTCTCATGAAACATCAAAATATTGACCAATTATTGAAGATCAATATTAACTATAATGAGGATTTGATCATAATTTTTCATGTTGGGTTAGAAGAAAGAGATGATGCTACATTATATTTAAGGATGGTTAGCCAATCATATCACTTTCCCGAGGAACTTTTGAGATAAGTATTTGGTATTTTGATATCTAGTCATGACACAACCATATTTGATTCTTCACTGTGTAACAACTTTGATTGGAGATTTTACTTAAACTCATTCCTAAAGGAACCAAGGCCAAACCTGGAAACCTTGGAAAAGCTGTCTACTAGAAACCTGAAGAGAAATCACCACATACTTCATTGGATTGTCACTCGTGTTTTGCGTCCAAGAAAGGGAGGTCACTCTAGGATTAATGAAGCTAGGGAATACTTGATGTATATTCTTGAGAATAAGTTTTTGATTAGTTGGCCTTATTACTTTGTTTCCAGTATGTTTTCTATTCGTGAGTGTCACAAGGGATCATCTTTGAGTTACTCTTCAATGATTAGTAGGATTCTCATGCACTTCCAAATTGATATGCAAAATCTTCCATGCATCTCACTTGGGAAAACTCAAGAGTTCAATGCTACTACATTAGCAAATATGTGGTATAGGTGGGATAAGGATCAACATGCTTACTAATTCTCTATGAAAGGGACCAACAGACACATGTACAATTATGATGCTCCAATTGAGATTGATCAGGTAAATGTTGAGGAGCAACAAATGGACGAAGATGATCAGCATGAAGATGCATACATGTCTGATGCTAACTATGGTGACGGTGAAGCTTGGCTCCATCGTTCTACATCCCACCAAATTGAAGAGGTTCAACCTGGTTAGGCATATCAACCAAAAACTAAAGAAGATGGACAAGGTATAGGTGAATGGAAGAATAACTCTTAGACCAAATGGGGGATGGATTACGGGTATCAGACTGATCAAGATTGAAGATATGAAACTGGTCAAGGCTCAAGTGGTGAAAATTAATCAATTATTATTATGCTGGAAAACTTATGTGTTCAACAACGGGAGCATCATGAAGAGGAAACTTATTGGCGTGCTTATTTTGAGGCATTTCAAGAGGAGTGTTACCTTTTGGTTCAGGATCACTTGACTTCTATTGAGGAATCTCAAGAAGAGCGTTACTGTTTGGTTCAAGAACACTTGTCTGCTCAGGATAACTCCTTCAATGTTTTTGAAACCTATGTTACTGATGAGTTTTCCAACCTTCGTAGAGCCATAGGTGTCAACCATGGTGCTACCACTACCAGCATTAACAGGGCACTACATTATCAAGATGAAAATCATTATCATTACTCGCAGTTTTACCAAGAGATGTGTGATTTTCTTAACGGTCAAAATGAAAATAACAGTCAAGGATGGCATAGAGGTGTGAGACCACAACCCAAGGGAAGAAACCATCAGGGTCAACATAAGGGATGTCGTGGACATCTTGCTTGCGAACAATGGAATTCAAATCATTTTGCATGCATTTTCATTTTTCTTTAGTGTTGGTTACGTTTATATTATGTTTGACTTATTGTAATTCTCACTTAAAACAATGTTGCATTATGTTTCTAATAAATTATATTTTCTTTATTTTGAATTGATTTTTGCTTAATTATGTTTATGCCATGTCACCTCATTATCATTCTATGTGAGTTTTGTTGTTGATCAAAATTATCTTTGTAACGCCTCTGAGCGGTTTATATGAAATTGTGTGATTTACTTGGTGCTTCTTACACTTCTGTGGCCTTTTTCTCTTTTGGATGTTGTAAAATATTAATGCAAGAACAAAGAAGAAAGTTTAGTTGCAAATATTAAAAGAAAAGATGCACATATTCAGGGGGAGATATGATCAGAGACTACAAATATGTCGCATGTTTTACCATCATCAAAAAGGGGGAATATGTGAGTGTAATATCCTCTTTTAGATGTTTAGAATGATGTCAAAACTAGTTAATATTTAGTATTTATAATTTTGACCTTATCTCTCTATGTCTAGATTTCATTATCATCTTAGGACACTTAAGTATCAAGTCACAAGCCTTTGGACATGTTAAAAACTTCAAAAATATGCATTTTTGTGAAAAAATCATGTTTGGAGTCGACTCTCACTGAAAAATATTTAAAAAGAAACTCTCTGGTCCAAAGGAGTCAACCCCAAGTGTTCAACAAATTGCTTTTGTCATATTTTTCCGATTATTTCATTGGAAATTGATTTCTATAGTGTGGTTTATTCAAACGTTGTTTGTTGGAAATATACTTGTTATTTTTCTCATTTTTCGTAAAGTCGTTCTATCTGTTTAACACATATCTAGTCTTTTCGATAACAATTTGGATAGACAATTGTCGATCCAAGTTTGTTTTCGTGCTCCATAGTTAAAACATTTTTAAAACATAATTTTATTTAGAAAATTTCATTTGCGATCTATTTACACCCCTCTAGATCGTAACCTATCATCTAAAATGCATCTCCAAGAGTGTCGATGCCTCCACCTTAAGTTTCTAGTGTTCCAACTACTCCCGGGGTTACGCGGAATTTAAGAGACCCAAATTCTCCCTTCCCTTTGAATTTTCCGCTACCCCTAGGCGGTAGAGAACAACCTTATGGCATGTCAACTGTAATAATCACAAGCCTACACCCCACTGCATCGATGTATGCAAATAATGTGATGGCACTTGTGTCCCTTATTAATCCATGCCTAACATCAGGATATTCAATAAGAAACCTTGGTTGAATGGCGCAACTGCAAGCCATGCCGATATTAACCACTAATTTCCTTTAATCTGTAAGGCAAAAAATCGATGAGAGCAACCATGAAATGTTTAATATGTTACCCCAACAAATTGGCATTATGTTTAACCAATTGATTTAAAACACTGACCATAATTATCAGTAATTGGCCCAACAAATGGGACCAATTGCATATTTCTTTGGCGCTCCTTGTAATCCTGATCATCATCATCATCATCATCATCATCTTAATAAAATTAAACATCATCTTCATCTAAATCAGAAGATTCTTCATCTATGGGAGTCTTCTACTTGGACTTCCTCTTTCCTGGCGCCTCTGGAGCATCCCCATGCTTAGAAGTTTTAGGAGTTGGGCTTGGTTCAAGAGGTTTGATCTCCTCTTTCCTATGCTTAACGCTCTGCGTTACTATCTTGGTTTCTTTGACAATTGTAGTCTCAAGATTAATAGAGGTCTTAGTGTTTTCATCTAAAGTACTCATTTTTTAATCTAAATGAACTTGAAAGTTGATTTGTGTGGTTTGCAACTGAGAAGGTCAGCTTTTATAACGGCTCATTGGAAGATTAATCATGTTTGTGTGTTGTTATCCTTGATTCTTGTAACTTTAAACACCAATAGCCGCTAAAGCATGCCACCTTATCTTTATTTCATCTTTTCACTTCTCAGTTTACGTTTCATAAAAGATGACAAGATATTTATTTACTCCCAAAGGAAGTAATTATTTTCAATTTCTTCTTACTTTGGTCTCTTCATTTTCTTGGAGGCTGAAATGACGATGGATTGTTGTTCAGTATATCTCTCTCTCTCTATTCTATTTATCTATTTACTTTTTGTTGATGACAAAAGGGGGAGAAATATGGGAGTATTTAAAGAGTTTGATAAAAAAACATTTTCTATGTGCAAGATCCTAATCCCACTTTAATGTTATATGCTTATATATTTATAAAAACGTTTAATAACTTTGATAAAATTTAGGGGAAGCTTACAAAACTCAACCTATAAACTATTAAACTCAGAGAAAGCTTACAAACCTCAAGCTATGAAGTTGTCAAGTTACTAAAACCAGTTTAGATAATTTAGATAGAACTTAGGGGGAGATTACAAACCTCAACCTATGAACTGTTAGACTTAGGGGGAGCTTACAAACCTCATACTCTTATGTTGTTAAATTATTAAATTGACCAACCAATTTTTCTTAAATACTTATGTTTGTCATCATCAAAAAGGGGGATATTGTTGGAAAAAAAATATTCATGCTTTTTGAGTTCATACTCCTTGGGTCTTGATGATAACAAAAGTACTTAAAGAACAATAGGGTATACTAACATTTGTTTAAGTGCGCATGATCATTAACCTAGTAATTAAATAGGTTCTAACCAAGTTAGATTACTTGAAAAGAAGAAGAAATTCATATTCTAATAGGATGCCTCACTTGAGAAAGACACAATGATGAAAATAATTATTCAGAAAATGAAGATCCTCATCGTACCAACTCCAATGTTTCTCTCTTGGAAACTCTTCTTTAGCAAACACACTTGTGCAAGCAAGCTTCCAACATCTCTTTTGTTACCTCTATATAAGGATCTAAAGATTCCAAATAAGTAACACGAATGCACAACAACATACAACAAGAAAGAACATATTTTTTCCGCTCTCTAAGATTTTGTACATAAGTTGTTGTACTGCATATAGACTTGAGATTTTCTTACACTTGTATATCTTAGAAATCTAAATTTACCTGGTCTTTGTGTGTGTTGTATTGATTGTACCTCTGATTTTATATCAGGTGCATCATGTTGTAATCCTAAATAATTTGTTTAGAATTTGTAAAAGTCTCAGACTGAGTGTTTGAGCAAGAAATTATTAGATTGAGTGTTTGAGCAATGAAGTCTCTTTCAAGTGTGATTGAGCAAGGAAGTCCTGAACAATTGGTTTAGAAAAGGAAGTCTCTTTCATGTGTGATTTAGCAAGGAAGTCATGGACACTTGGTTTAGGAAAGGAAGTCTCTTTCAAGTTAGATTGAGCAAGGAAGTCCTGAATAGTTGGTTTAGGCAAGAAAGTCTCTTCCTGGTTAGATTGAGCAAGGAAGTCTTAAACGTGTGTGTTTATGCAAGAAGTCTCTTTATTGTGATATCGAGCATGAAGTCTTGGACTGGTGTGTCTATGCAAGTTGTAATTAGGTTCTGATTATAATGAAAAGTTCTTGTGTAGCAAGAGGACTGGACTAGTCATGTTATATAGGAACTGTGATAATCTTTGTGTGTGATTTACTTTTTGCTTCTTCACTTTTAACTATTCTGCTGTTGCATCCTCTTGCTAAGAATATGAACTTGGTCAGATTCAGAAGTTGTTTTTCATAAAAGAAAAACTTATCTAATACACAATTCAACCCTCCCTCTTGTGTATTTTTCTCACCTTCAGTTGGCGTCAGAGCATTGTTTGTGTTTAACACTTAATAGTGGTACAAAAAAGATCCTGAAGGGAAAAATGTACTAGATGGGTGATACTGGTGATAATCATATTACTGGAACTAGCATACCATATGATTATAATGCTCTTGAAAAGAGTTACTATTCTGCTAAACCACATGCATTCAGTGGTGGTTCTACTCACTTTGAATGGTGGAAAATAAAAATGTACACATACATCATTGGGATTGATGATGAGTTATGAGACAACCTTAAGGATGGTATTAAAATTAAAGTGAATGGTGTGGGAATGGTTGCTTATAGAAAAGTTCTCACTCCAGCTCACAAGAAAGTGTATAGGAAACACCACAGATTAAGAGGTATTATTGTTGATGTTTTACCTCACTCTGAATACATAAAAATCATAGATAAGTCAACTGCCAAGACTATCTTTGATTCATTATGTGTTACCTATCAAGGTAACCAGCAGGTGAAAGAAGCTAAGGCCAATTTTCTAGTTCACTAGTATGAACTCTTCACGTTCTTGTATCAGGCCTTCAAGTTTCGAATAAGAGTTATACTTCTGCAGATCATGTCAAGGAGATTTTAAGGAGTCTTCCTGTAACATTCAGACCCAAAGTTACAAATATTCTGGAGGTTAAAGACCTTAATAATTTAAGCCTTGAAAGTATGATAAGCAACCTTCATAGCCATGAAATGAAACTGAATGGAGATGAGCATGTGAAGATGTTAAAATCACTAACTTTAAAGTATGATACTGAGCAATCTGGTGGTAAAGCGCCCAGATCCTTAAGAGTCAGCAAATAAGAAGAAGCTTTTAATGAAAAAGTTTCTGATGATAACTATGATGATGAGGAAATGGAATTTAACATGAAAAGGTTTCAACAATTGGCCAAAAGGAACAAGAGATTATCTGGTAGAAGCAGTGGCTTTAGAGGCTCTAGTTCTAGATACAAAGAAGATAAGAAAAAGATTTGCTACAACTGCAACAAGCCTAGTCACTTCATATCTGATTGTCCTGATCTACAGAAGGACGAGTCAAATAAAGGAAGCTTACATAAGGAAAACTTGAGAAACAGATTCAAGAATAGTCTCATGGAAACATGTGATGAACTTGATAATGAAGGAAGTTTTGACAAATACAAAGGAGAAGCAAATATGGCGTTGATGTATCTCACATCATCTGATGCAGAATATGAATCCTGCTCTGTTTTAGAATCAAACAAAGAAAATAAGGTATTTTCTAACTTATCTCGTTCTGATCTTATTTCCTTCATTCAAGACCTCACGAGTCGTTGCAAAGACAAAGCAAAACATATGAAAA